GCAGCAGCAGTTTGCCACCTTGCCACTGTGTGCGGGATGTCAGATACTTCTTTGTTGGCAGTCAGTCGGGAGCTTGCCTTGGGCACTACGGAATGTTTAAGAATGTTTAACAGCATCCTTGGCTTCTACCTACTAAATACCAGTATCAACAGCCATGACATCATAAATGTCTCCCACCATGTCCCTAGCTATAAATCAGAGATCTAGGGTGTCAAAAGCAAGGGCTTTTCTGAGATCAGTCCTAAGCTCTGGCATGGCCTGGCTGTGTGGCATTGGGCTCATTACCTCCCTAAGACTCAAATACCTCATTTATTCAAGAGGGATGAAAAGACTCACTTCATGTGGTTGTTAGGAGAAGTGAGTTAGGAAAGGCCTCTTTAAAGTAGTCCAAAAGCATATGCCACTTAGAGGGGTAAGGTGTAACCTGGCCCAACCTATGGTATTTTCAATCTCCTCACTTGCAAACACTGGAAAACAAAATAAGGAAATCAAAGAATTGATGTATTTGAATTATCATGTTCTCAAAGACTATTTAGTATACCCAAATTTTTCTCTGCCAGGAGAATTAATAAGGAGCCCTGAGATGGCACTGGGGGTTAGGCTGCTAACTGCAAAAGGCAATGGTTCAAATTCACCAGCCACTCAGAAAAAAAATGAGCTGTGGTAAAAGAGTCACAGTCAGAACTGACAAGTTGGCAGGGGTGTGTGTTTTGTTTTACCAGAAAAATGATCAAACCTGTCTTGGAAAAAGTACAGCCAGGATGTTCCTTAGAAGTGAGTCTCACACTTTGGACCATTTGTGGAAGATGGATATCCTGTTTTCTAGAGGGAGAAAGGTCCTCCATGAAATAGATTGGACACAGTAGCTACAACAAGGGACTCAAACACAGTAACGATTGTGAGGTTGGAGCATGACCAGGCAACAGTTTCCTTCTGTTGTTCATAGAATCGCTATGAGTCAGAAACAACTAACAGCAAGGAATAACATATCAGGGAATTATTAGACTTGAGAATATATTCGCTGCCATCAGAACAGTCTTCGTCACAAAACTGTGTCAAAAATTCAATGTTAGCTGTCAACGTTACTCTTGCAGTTAGGTGTTGTCAAGTTGGTGCCAGCTCACTGCAACAATAAGGACTACACAACACAATGAAACACTGTTATTATACACTATATCCTACATTTGAGCACAGTGGGGCATCACATTGATGCCTTAACTCCATCTTGCTGAGGGTCTTGGGCTTATCTTCCTCTGTTTTGCTGTCCTGCTACTTCACCAAGCCTGGTTTCCTTCTCTAGGGGCTGGTCTGTCTTGATAAAATCACTACAACATGTCAAAGTCTTCCTGTCCATACTTCTAAGGAGCATTGTCAACTGCACTTCTTCCAGCACAGACCTGCTCAAATTTCATGTTCTTTCCCAACACCATAATCCAAAGGCAGATTCTTTTCCAGTCTTTCTTATGTACAGCTTGGCCTTCACAGGCATATGAGGCCATTTCAAATACCATGGCTTGGGGCTGGCACACCTTAGTCCGCAAGGAAACATCTCTGTTTTGAAATACTTTAAAGAGGTCCTGTGCGGCAGATAGGTTCAATTTTGTTGCACATTGTTGGACTTCTTGACTGCTGCTTTCGTGCATGTTGGTTATGGATGCTGGTAAAAAAAAAAAATCTTGACAGCCTTCTGTTATCGGTTTATCATGATATTGATTATTGGTCCAGCTGTGAGGACTTTTATTTTCCCTATGTGGGGAGTAATCCA